CGGTTTGGGACCCGCTGCCGGCAGCAGCAGGAGGCCGGAGGAAGGAGATGCTGCTTGTGCGCGCCTGGCCCAGCTGCCGCCTCGGGAAATGAACATGAGTCTGCCAGGCCGCGTCTCCTGCTCCATGCTCAACTGCTTTGTAAGTGCTGCTTTTTTCCCCCCCCTCTTTTCCTCCATGCAAACGGGGCTGTAAGCCAGCATCTCTCCAGCTCCCATGCTGAGCCGGCTGCCTCAGATCAGGCCTGTCCTTGAGGCAGGGCTGTGTGCGGATCCTCCCGACCTGGCATGCTGACCCCCTGCAGAGGGGATCCCCTTCTCCACCCTCCCACGTGGTGCCGGAGGATGCTGTGGCCCCCATCGCTGCCGGAGGACACCATGGTCCCTGTCACTGCCATGCTGCTGCCCTGCCCAGGCCCAAGGACATGGCAGCGCTCAGCACCGTGGGTTGTGTCGGCCAAAAGGCCCCGGCAAGCGTGCGGCCAGTCCTTGCCCAGAGCTGGAAAATTATGACGTGAGAGCAGCCGACCCTGGGGGAGCTCTGTGCTCCCGCTGTGGCTGCAGCGTGCAAGACAGGGGTATGCGAGACCCCCTCTGGTGCTGATGCTGCCAGGATGGTAGTGTAGTGGGAGGGGGTCTGGAGCTCTGCGTCTTCTATACTTTTAGGGAATGCGAATTTTCTTGCTCAGAGGAGATCTGATGCCCCTTCCTGCAGAAAGCCCCCCTCTCTCCCACCTCCCCCCACAAAGGACTTGTGACCAAATGGGCCCTGAGGGCTTCAAGCTTATGAGGAGAGTGTGATCCTGAGCCCCTTGCCCTGCTGCTACCCCAGGACAGAGCTGTGGCAGGGGGAGATGCTCAGCCTCCTGCCTGTCCTGTGCTGTGGGCGAGGAGGGACTCAAGGACACCCAGGCCAGTGGAGAGCTTGAGCTGCCCTGTTCCAGTTCCTGCTGCTCACTGGGATTTCTTTGTGAGCTGCAAAGTGGTGATGGGAGAGGATCTCTGCTGCCCAGCACCGCTTCAGCACACACGTTTCCTTCGTGCTCTCCTGGGCGAGCACCTCAGTGTCAGAGCAAGCTGCTGGCCCCCAAGCCCACTGTGTTCTCCAGTAACCGGTGGCTGCTGCAGCAGGTGCTGTGGCCTGGAGAGGGAACGAGGAGGGGCAGTGCCTTCACCTCCAGCTGGGGTTGATGCCGAATTTTATGGTGGCTACAAGCAGCATGTTCATAGGTACCTCCTGACCCAGGGGGCAGGAGGAAGGTGGCTCTGTGGGGTCTGGCTGCCCCAGTCTGAGACCAGGGGGTGCTTCAGGCCTGTCTGTACCTGTGGGTGCAGAGGCTTGAGCAGCTGTCGGCAACATAAGGGGATTCAGCACTATTTAAATATATGTGAGTCAAAAGGGTTGGGTTCTCATTTCTTCAGAATGAAATTTGGGGTTCTGCCTTGTGTGACTTACCCAGAAAGATATTTCATTTAAAAATATTTAGTGCTTACAGAACAGAGTGTTTCCTGGTAAATGCAGAAGCCTAAATGGTTAGAGAGTAAGAGGCATTCTGAAGAAAATGATCGCACACTAAATCTGTGTGGAATTAACACTGTCCTGGGCTCCCAGCAGCGAGCACCCACAACTGAGTGTCTGGAGGCTGCTGGTCCATACAGCACACCGGTGCTTTGACAGCGTGGGGTGAGGGCTGGTGAAAACTGGACCAAGATTTCATGAGCGCCTGAAGATCCACAGGTCCCAGACTGAGATGCTCTCTCCACCTCTTCAAGGATGGCACAGCCAGGCTCTGTGTGTCCTCAGACCACTTATCCAAGGCTTCTGTGGGCTTTCCAGGGCGTCTGTCTGAGCAGGTTCGACATGGTCGGCTGCCCTGAGGACGAATGCCCTGCTTGGGTGCACGTTGATGCAGTTGTTACAGCATTATGTTTCACACCTGTGTATTCTCAAAAAGCTTCAGGCTTTTAGCAGATTTCTTTGAGCTAAGAGTGAAAATGAAAACTCCCCTAAGAAAGCAGTGCTTATGAATTTAAGAGGAGGAAGAGCAGGTCAGATGGAAACCTACCCAGCAGGTAGATGGAAACCCTCCGTGTTACTGTGTTTCAGCTGTGGTGCCATAGTGAAGGTAATAGGGTAACATTTGATGTGATGAACTGCTGTTGCATTGGTCCAAGATCCTGTGCATGGTCAAGGTGTGTCTGCTTGGCTTTCCAAACTCCACATGGCTGGAAGAAAAGGGACTTGGGGACCTGCTTCACTCTCTCACTGTGCTGTGGGAACAGCCAGAGGAACTGCTGAGTCCTGCAACGCAGGGAGTGTGGTCCGGAGGCAGAACAGGCATTTCCATGCACAGGTCCAGGGGGATCCCCAAGGTACTGGGGTGCCATGAGTATTCAGCAGCTTTGACTCTTGGCTTTTTGTAACATGTGCTGACTGGGGCCTGTCTCAATGTGTTCTGTTTTTTTGGTTTTTTTTGCAATGCAGGGTGAGGAAGGCCCTCCCAGTCTGGAGTATATCCAGGCCAAGGACTTGTTTCCCCCAAAAGAGCTTGTAAAGGAGGAAGAGTCATTGCAGGTAAGGAAGCAAGAAAACCAAAACGGCTTCGGGATGCAGGCACGACCCCGGTAGTGTGTAACCTGGGTGCAGTTCTCCAACCCAGGCCATGTTGTGGAGGTCGTGGGCTGATGTTGTAGGTTGTGTATGGACCAGCAGGTCTCTCTGTGTGCATGGAGGCTGCTGACGGCTGTTCTGACCGTCCTGGCCCTGCCTCTCCACCCCTGCCAAGACACTGCAATTTGTACAGCATCGCGTCTGCCGCTTGGAAACGGGGCTAGAGCATGATGCAACACAGCCGTCCTGGGTATTCCCTGTCCTCCACCTGTGCAGGCAGTGAGAAATCATGACACTGCCTGCGCAGCTCTGCAGCAGGTAGATGCTCTCTGGGACAGGGCGATTGGCAGGGCTGGGTTCTGTGTAGCTGTAGCGTGCGATTGCAGTGGCTGATCAGGCCCTAATGTACGTTGCTCCTGGCATTTTCCTGCTGCAGAGCTGTTGAAAAGAGAAACCTCCATATGGTGCCAGCCTGCTGCTGCAAAAGGGCCTTGAAAGAGGCCTGGGTGCTGTTGCTGCTGTGCAGCAAGGGCATTATCCTGAGTGGTGGGAGCCAAAGCCTCCTGGTGCTTGTTGATTCCTTTAACATAGTCTACTACCACCTCGTCCCAGCGCTTATCATCCTCATGTGTTCTCGCTGCTGTTGCAGTGTTTGAGTCTGCTCTGTGATTGGTATCATCTTGGTAGATGGTGCTGATAAATCAAGGACTGAAATGTGGCACCAGGAGGTTTGGTTTGAAGGAACACTGTGGGCTGAGGAGGCATGTGGGGTCCAGGCTGCAGGTCTGCAGGAGGGGAAGCCGCTGAGACTGAGCTGAGAGAACCTGAAGAAGAGCAGAGGCTGCTTTAGTTCTTTGTGTGGAGGACCATAAAGTTCACCCCTCTCAAAGGGTATTTTGTGTTCAGTAAATTGTTATTCTCTTAATATAAAGTGAACTCTAAAAGGATGCTGTCGGCTTGATAATGGGCTGTGTTCAGGTACCTGTCAATTGTTTTCAGGATTTCCCTCTGTCGGCTCTTGCAGTTTTACCATCCCATTTCTAATCTGTCTCCCTTCTGTTGCTGTGTGAAAGAGCCACTTAAGCAGGAGAAACACGTGCCAACTAAAAACAGCTCTGGCAAGTGTGCATAAATAAACTGCAGAAATAAAGAGAGTATATTCTCTTAATGTCAAATAATTAACATTTTTAAACAATATTCGGACAGATGCCAGTCTAAGGTTTGTACCAGTAACTTAGAGAGGGGAGAAATTGTAGTACAATTGTCACTTGCACATGAAGCCTGAAACCCAGGAAAATCAATTTTTAGGCAGGCTATACCCAAGCCATAGAAACAACTTAGAAATATAGACAAGGCGGTCTGACTTGTTCTAATTATGGTGTAATGAATGGTTTCATCAGGTGCTCTGTCTGCCAAGTAATGCTGGCTGAAGTGCGTAATTGGTTACCAACATCACCTGGTGTAGGTGGTGTTCAGGGAACAATGAGGAGTCTGCTTAGTTAAGGAGGAATGGGCCTGGTGAATTTTAGGCTGTTCTGCCATCTTTTATTTTTTTAATACAAGAAAACAAAAGTCAAACTTGGCCATCTGCCAGCATCCCCAGTTTTCAATACCTGTGGCAGGTCTGGGCTGAGAGGGAAAAACAGAAAAACTCTCATCTGGATTTAAAAAAATAAAATTCTAATACAAGTAACTTTAATGAAGTTTCTTCAGTCATACCAGTAACTTTACACACAGACTCCCCCTGAGTCTTGTTAGCAGAAACTGAGCAAAACTTTCATTCATTTGCTTACCTGGACTGGTACTAGTGAGTCTCGCAGTGCTGCCAACAGCCCCCTTCACTTAAGTGACTTGGCAGGGTCGTGTATGTGACGCTGCCGTGGGGCAGGGGACTCCTATGGTACCAGGCTCTGCCTGGAGCTGTGCAGAGCACTCCCCAACTCGTGCCTGAGGTTGTGTCCTTCATCATGCTGCCTGCACCAGGGCTGCATTTACCCTCTCCAAAAAGCCAGAACCATAAATCCCTCTGAGCCCATGCAACACCCTCGCTGCCAGCTGCCCCCAGTTGGTGTATGTAGTGTTAGTGGTCACACCTCTCCTCTGCAAGTAATTGTCCATCAGGAGGTGCTTGGTGCTTCCCGAGGCATCCTCGGAGGAAGATCCATCTTGTGGGGCTGGGCAGTGGGTACCAGTGCTGCTTCGTGCTGTTGTCTGCTCTCAGTGCATGAAGAGCACATCACTGCGGATGATTTCCCACAGGAGATGCACTGTGGAGACAGGAGGAAGAGTGCCTCTTGGCATTTGTGGTGCACTAAGTACTCTGCATGTGTCTTGAATTAGTGATGTCTCCCTTCCAGGTCCCATTCACTGTGTTGCAGGGTGAGGGAGTGGAGTATCTTGGCCACGCAAACGATGCTGTGATCGCCATCTCCAACTACCGGCTCCATATCAAATTCAAGGATTCTGTGATCAATGTAAGTCTGGGTCTGCCTGTTCCTGCTGCCTGGATCATAGTCTCTCACAGTGTTTTGGGGGCAAAAGGGGCATAAGCTGTGTCTATGGCATGGGAGCTGTGCCTCCTGAAGGATGCCAAGCCTGATGCTGTCTGTAGTTACTGCTGGTCATGCAGTTGCTGTTTTGCTGTTGCATTTTGGTGTGTGGATGGGGTTTTCCTTTTGATAATAATTAGGTCTTTCTTTTGCTGTTCTCTTTAAATTCAAGCATTAAACTTGGTGGTTTTAAGACTGTTAAGGTCTCTTGCAGGCCAGCTTTAATGAGGCTTCTCCTACCTGGAGACCAGCAACCGAGAGTCAGACAATGGGATCCTGAGGCTTTCTCTCCCAGTCTTGACTTCCCATCTTCTATTGCAACTTTAGCTTGGCTCAGTTACCTGTGCTTGTCTGCATGTGATTTAGTCGGTAACTGGCCCCAGGTGGAAGACTGCCCAGGGGCAGAGTAGAAATCAGAATAGGAATTGCTGAAAGGGGCTCTGTGCTGGGTCATGAAGCTTCATAAACCTCAGAGTGCATTTGTAGTTTGAACCGAAGCTCATGACTGCTGATAGAGCCATGACTGTGCGTGATGGACCTACAGGCAAGGCTGCTATGTCTGCTGTTTTGTGTGTCTTGTCATGCCCTACATCTTTCCCTCACAGGTGCCTTTGAGGATGATGGAAAGTGTGGAGTGTCGGGATATGTTCCAGCTTCACATTGTCTGCAAGGACTCCAAAGTGATCAGGTATCCATTTTATTGCTGTATTGTAGATGCCACTGCGGGCCAGATGCCATGATCAGCGCTGGTGTCTCCCTCTGTGCTGCTGTTACAATGGAGCTGTTTGTGGCTGAGGTCACAAAGTCTTGGTGCTTTTTTCCTCTTCCTGGTTAAGTGGAGCAGAGCTCCCTGTCTGCGTCTTGGCTGAATTAAACGTACCTGCTGAGGATGGCTTGCATTTGGGTTTGCAGGTGCCATTTTTCCACCTTTAAGCAGTGCCAGGAGTGGCTAAAGAGGCTGACTCGAGCCATCGCTCGCCCTGCTAAGCCTGAGGACCTCTTTGCATTTGCCTACCATGCATGGTGCTTAGGAGTCTGTATTGATGAGGAGGATCAACATGCACATCTCTGCCGTCCAGGTAAGCTTTTCTGTCCAGAAGCATTGCAATGCAACTTGAACTGCTGTCAGTGAACTGATGTCTGACTGTGTCTTAAGCTCTGCTGTAGCCATAGCCTAAGTTCGTCCTGATGAGAGGTATCCTGTACCTGGCCTTGAGATCCAGCCAATGCCCAGATGCAGCTGGATAACAAACACAGTAAAAGGAATAATGGTAATAAGCACAATAAGGAGCATTCTGAGCCAGTAACACACAAGCAGCTTTTCCCTTTCTTCTTGTGAATGAAGAAAACATCCCACCCTTTAGTGCTTTCATCATGATGATAGAGAGCTCAAGCAGCCTTGTCCCTGGATGGTAAACATTGTCAGCTTTAAGGCAGCAGAGTTAATATGAGTCCATCTGCATCTCTCTTCCAACACCTAGCAATGCCATGACAGTCCTTTGATTGGGTCTGCAGAGATGTCTGGTTCATCCTTCCACAGGCACAAATAAAACCTTTGAATCCAGAAAGAGAAAAGCAGAGTGCAGGTGGTGCCCTCGTGTGGATTGGGAGTTTCCCATCTCTGGGAGCACAAAGTTCACTTGCAGTTGCTTTGTCTTTAAACAGCTTCAGCGTGAATAAAAGGGGATTAAAATGAGTGACAAACTTAGCTTTAAACTTTAAAATGTGCAGATATTAGAGGAGAGCAGCAGTAGCCTGAGTGAAATGTCCAAACACAGGTTGGGATGGAGGGATGGGGTTGAATAGCATAGTTGAACGTGATACCAAAAAAAAGCTAATAGAGAAAAGGTAAACTATGTGTTCTTACCCTGTCCCAAACACCAGCAGTTAGGAGATATTTGCTGTCTCTCCTTTAGAGAAAGTATTATTCTCTAGTATAAATAAACTTACCTGTGGCAGTTGTTGCTACAGGCTATGATTTAAGAGCTTTGCGGTATTTATTAACAACATTTGACACTTGAGCAACAAAGACATCCATGATTTGTAAGGCAAGGCCAAAACTTGAGAGAGCAAACCCTGCATCAGGCTCTGAGCGCTGCCTGGGAGAAGGAACTGTCCGGGGTGGGTGCTTGGTGCCCCTCTGCCATGGGCTTCCTGACACCCACTTTGGAAGCCATGTCTGTCAGAAGGGCAAAAGTGGATTAAATTACAAGACACACCCCACTCCACACTGCTGTGGGAAGGCTCTTTCCATGCTGCTCTGTACGCTGAGACTGAGAGGTGATCTGACTTGACAAAATAAGCAGAGGAACCCCCATGAGGTACAAATGTTTTTGGCTTCTGAAGCAAGATCCCTGCCACCCAGCTGTCTTGTAGTTTCTCCCCACTGGTGATAGTTGCTATGGAGATGCCACAAAGATGTTCAGATTTCATCAGTTCTGTTTGGCTGTCAGTAAATGTCCTGTGCTCTGCTTTTCCAGGAGACCATGTGAGATACCGATTTCAGATGGAGCTGGTGAGGATGGGCTTTGACTTGCAGAACGTCTGGCGCGTCTCTGACATCAACAACAATTACAAGTGAGTGTTTCACCACCAGGCTCTCCCCACTCTCCTCTTTCCTTATCTCCTTTGCTTTGCAGTTCCCGTGCAGAGCAGTGGATGAGTCAGACTCCAGTTAATCCTCCCTTCTGGCCTCAGTAACCCTCAGGTAGATCAGCATATGGGCCAGATGCCCTTTCTTTCCACCTCTCACGTCGTGGGATTGAAGAAGGAATAAAGGCCAAGCTAGCAGCAGTTGTAAATGCTGACTCAGGTAGTTTTTGTGGTGGCCATAAATCATCCTGGAAGACATTCTGGAGTCTCGGAGGAACCATCCATTGTAGGGTTGCCTTTCTGGTCAGTCGTTCTCTCTAAGGAGCTTTGAGATGAAAAATACAAAGTTTTCATAAGTCAGGCAGCCATTCAGCTCTGAGAAAAGGAGGGTGAGCCCATGGAGGGCTGTCAGGGTGCTCAGAAGCCTGGGGAGTGAGCGAGGCTTGTTCAGTCTGGTGCAGAAGGGGCTAAAGGGTGGTCTGTGTGCAGCTGGCAGCTGCTAGAAGGGCAGTTACAGAGCCAGTGGAGTGAAGCTCTTCTGACAGTGGCAAGTGGCTGAACAAGACACAACTGCCACAAGGTGCAGCTTGGGAGGTTCAGACTGGACATGGGTTGGGGGCTGGAAATAATTCCCCAGCAGTGTGGTGCTGTGCTGGGGCAGATCCCCAGAGAGGTGAGGCTTCTCTGTCATTGGAGCATTTCAAGTCTCTGATCTGGTGTTGGAGGTGGTCCCCTGCGAGCGGGTGGTTGGAGTAGGGAATCTCTAGGAGGTCTTTCTCACCTGCACATCAGTGAGCACTGGAGCTCTTCAAGAAGCACTTCTGTATTCTTTGCAGCAGGTGGCATTAAGCCAACAGGATTTTACTAAGCTTTGACAGACGTATTCATTTCTGCATTCCCTGTAATCTTTTTCTTGAAATGAGTGGCATCCCTCAGGCTTTTCTCTGTCTCGGCCAGTAAAGGCATCCTCATAACCAATACATCGACCAGTACCAGGTCGCCAGTTTCTTGTGGACACCATGAGGAGCCTTGGCCATACTGCCCTGGGGAAATCCCAGTGGAGTTCTTGCAGTTTTGCTGCCTGTTCTCTCTTCCTCGGGAATCCGGGCAGTAAGCACTAGTTTTGGGGTTTGATTTACAGTTTCTTGGCCATACTGACCACATTGTTGCTTCTGGGCTGTTAACGTGACTTTGGCATTTATGCAGTTTCTCCAAGGATCCCAAATATAAATTGTTTCCCTGAACTGCTCAGTTTTGGAGTGCACACCTATAAGTACCTGCCCACGGTAGTCTCTGCACGTCTTGGAGTGCAATCAGGCTTTCTCTGCTGCTGGATTCCTGGCCAGCAATACACAGCAATTAACTGGCATCTCTAAAGACAGATGTTATATTTCCAACCAAACAAGGGAAAAAAGAACTTGAATCAAACCTCAGCAAGCTGGATGCAGGCCTGGTTTTGCTTTCCTACATCTGAGTACCGGGGTATCCTGGCAGGTCCCAGCTCCTTGCAGACATCCCGAGATCTCAAAGGTGGTATAATTTGTTTGTGCAACTCAGAAACCAGTTCTCTCTTGCTGCTTTGAGGAGTGTGTCTTTAAATTCTGCCTTGGCTTTTGGTCATTACCACCTGCCTCTATTCACAGGAATTGGGTTACTTTTTAACTGTTTATAGTCCTTTTATTTCCCAGCATTGGCAAAACAGTGTGGCTAGAGACAGGATGCTCCAAGGTAATGGCGTTGTTCATTGGCTTTCAAGTCTGTTCTGAGATGTTCTTATCTGGGAAATATTATCTTCTTCCTGGTGACAGCCATCATAAAATTAGAGCAATGCAAGCATATAATAACCACTCCTGCGGTCTTCATAAAAAGTGTACTATTTCAGCATACAATGATCATAAAATTATGTCATGATCTCTCCATGGCACTCTCATCTTCAGTGATGTGTGCACCCAGAGAAATGGACACGTTCTGGCATCCCCCACCTGGTGCGCCCGTGCTGCCCAAGGTAGGGGTTGTTTCATAGCAGCCTTGATGCTGCTGGGTCTGGTGCATGCATAGTTCCTTCAAAAAGGAAAGAGACTTTCACCTTTCCTTCAGTGTTGGTGCTCATTTCCAGCTTTGGTCTTTTCACAACTTTTATTTTTTACTTTGAGGAAAAAGCTGACTGAAGTTTGGTGTTACTGGTTTAGACATTGGATGTTTCCTACTTGTTTCTGTGAATGCTCTTAATTAGTATTTTGTCTTATTTTGTTACAATTCTCTACAGATTTTAATACTATCCTTCACTTTTATGGGAAAGGTGATAGTTACTGTTCTTGCTTGAATTTGCCATGCGTAGACAATAAGTCCATGGGGGCTGTTAGGGATAAACCCCATGGTTTTCCATCCTGCGAGGGAGGATCTCTCTCACTGACCTTTGTGGTAAGAAGCATTGTTGGTCTCTGTCCGAAGGTGCTGTTCGTGATGATTTATGTGTTTGTGGTGTTATAGCTGCCTTTTTCTGGGATCAAACCTCGCGGTTTCGAGAACGTCCATCCTTTGTTCTGGCTTGGCGTGGTCCCAGGGGTGTTTCAGGCCACCCCTCCATGCACTGTGTGGCTTCGCTTCTTCTGTTTCTTCCACGTAACACGTGAGCACATTGCACAACACAAGGACGAGCCTGGTTCCCCTTAGGAGTCCCTTTGTGAAAAATTGCCATTCAAGTTCTGTGCTGTTTATCTTTTCAAGAGTTACTGTTTCCTAAGAGGAGCTTCCTTCAAGTCTTTTGTGAGTGACTTGTAAAAAACCACACACACACACACACACACAAACACACACACACACACACAAATCCAGTCAGCCCATGAGTTGTATGTGCTCGATCAGAGACGTTTCCAGCAAGCTCTACATACGCGCTGCACAACCTCCCTCCACAAAAGCCGTGTTGACTCTTCCCAAGTGCACCCTGTTTACCCTCGCACTGACTGTGACACTCAGTTGCTTTGCACAGAAGTCGGACAGCAGGAGTTTCCCACATCTGCCCCAGAGACCTTTTTACAAAGTCGATGCCGTGTTTGCCAGCTTTGGCACCCAAGCCAATGTAAGCAGTAGCTGGCACATCTTGGTTAATCATTCACCTGGCGTGCATCTGGGTTGCTGTAGAAGTGCAGAGCGTTACCTGGTCCTTGTGGTTAGTTATTCCTCGCTCATAGCAGGTTGTTCTAAAAACTCCCCTGCAGAAGTTTCCATATTAATCTCTTCTTGTGCCTTGTCCCTGCTAGAACAGGGTTAGGTCTGGCAGCTTCTCTCTGAGCTCTTCTGGTGAATCCCAATGCAAGTAGTTTTGATTTTCTGCTGTGATCTTGCTGATCTTCCAGACCATTAGATTCAGCAGCCAGTTGATATCTCCGAGACGTCTGAAATAGTTCTTCACAGTTCTAATCTTTTAACAGGTCATTTCCCAAAAACTGCACAACATGTTTCATTTTTACTGTGGTTTTGTTTTTTTTTTTAATGTAGGTGCATGTTTGGCTTCTCTCATGTCCTTTGGAAACATTTCCTGTTTGGAGGATGTCCTTTTACTGCTAAAATCCTTCTTTTGTTCACTCTCTAACTCTGCCAGCTCTTTCTGATCTCTTTGTTGCATTTATATTAATAGCCTGTTTAAATAACCATCACATTTTCTGCAAGCTTTTGTCTTCCTCTCCCTTTCTGGACCTCATTGTTACTGTCGTGGGAGGCTTGTCCACCCTAAAAATATTGTTGAATTCTACTGTGTGATGAATACTGTAACAAAGTGTTTTTCTCAGTTATGTTTTGGAGCAGCTTAGGGGCAAAGGATGGATTATGTACTTCCATATTATTGGGCTGGCAACACCAAAAAGCAGCTGATTGCACCTACAAATGTCACCTTTGTCCCATACGTTATTGTGATGCTTGTGCGTTTTTTGTGGAAGCAACACAAGTCTCCCATGACAATTTCTACCCTCGCAGCCTTTCTGTATCTCTTCCAGCCTCTCATCGGTTTCATTCCCGTCGCTCCTGTGGTGGGTGGCATAGCCCCAATGTTGTTCTGTTTCTCTTTAGGCTTGGGATTTGAGCCCGTGCACGTTCTGCATTGGTTGTTGATGCTGGTAACTCTTAGCCTCACACTTCTACCTTCACGTTTTCCTGGAACATACCACACTTTGTTCACTGGCTCCAGTCTTCCTGCAAAGCTTGAACTCTAAAATTCTCTGTGCTATTAATAATTTTTCTTGTATTAGGTTTATAAGATACTGTTAAGCCAACGTACTCATTTATCCTGGCTTTTCAGTTCCTCCACTTTATTTTTTGGAATTCTAGCCTAGGAGCACAGGTCTGTTTGTCTTTACCTCATTGCCTGTTTTTACACACCCTGCTTAAATTCAGCTTAACTTCCTGAGGCTGTCCTGTGTCTTACCTGAATTTTATTGAGTTCTGTAATATTGTTTCCTCAGGCTACAGAGTTTAGTGACTTAACTCTGAGCTATGCTTCTGAACCTCTCCTGTACTGACTCTCCCCAAGTTTTAGTTTAAGACAACTCCTGTAATGTTTCATCTGAAGTGCCATGGAACTAATTTTGTTTTCATTTCAGTGAAATCCATTCTTGTACAGACTCAGTAATCCCAGAAGTTCCTCCAGATCTTAACAGGCGCTAGCCCTCTCCCACATACCTCTATTCTCTGTCACACTTCAGTGCTTCTCTAATTTCCTGACCAACTTTACCTGTGGTATCAGGCATTTCAGAGATGTCCAAGCCTAGGCATCCTACCACAGATGTTCTGGTCTTCATCTTCTTAGCTGAAAACTTTAATTTTGGTTTCTGGATTCCTCTTCTTCACCCTGTTTTTTATCCCATGGACCAACCTTGCCTTTTGCCTGGGGCTTTCTGAGAAGCTAGCATCACAAACTAAATAATTCTAAATGCTGTATTGTGCCTGTTGCCATCAGCAGGGATAGCCTGGGCTCAGGGGAACACCAGGACCCTCTCTGGAGCTTAGACTGGATAGTTTCACCCTCCACAGTTTGCTTCGCATCTGCCCTGAAACATTCCTAGAATGTTAGAGCTAGAGAATTCCTAGAGCTAGAGCTGTTCTTTGGTGGTCCTGGTCATGCAGGCCTTTGTCTGCCTGAGCTGCAGGAGCTCAGCAGGTCCAGCCCCCAGGCAGAGCTTTGTCTCTGCAGCCTGAGCTGCCCTGCATGCAGCTGTGCTGGCAGGGGCAGGATGGCAGCTGCAGGGACCAGGAAGCCCCTGCGCTCCTGGATTTTTACCTATGCTTCATTTCACTCATATTGCTGTGTCCACTTCTCCCCAGCACTCTCTTTGGCTTTCCCTCTTTCCCTTGGCTCTCCCCTCTTGTCCTGCTGATAATGTTTTTGAAGTTGGGTTTTTAACATTTTTCTTGGGACTTAAGCATTTGCACATCCTGTCGCCTCTTCTCATCTCCTCAATCACGTTCTTTTTGCTGCTGGTACATGTTCAGGTGTGTATCAGGAATCTGATATCTGGCACCCCACCAAACAAGATACTCTTTTAGATCTCTCTCCTGTCATTTTGTTGTAGGATATGTGGAATCACCATTGCCATCTTTCTGGGCAGAGTTTTATGTCTTCCTTGCAGAGAAGTGTGACGTTTATCAGTGGTGACCTGTTTTCTGCCAGGCAGAAAGTGGCAGATCATCATTTACCAGAAGCTGTGTGCATTTCTGGGGTTGCAAGTGCTGCAAGGAAACTAAAACCCCACATAAATTAAGGATTGTTCCCCTAAACCCTCATGAACTCTTAAATCCAGAGGACGTTCCAAGGCATCCTTGGCAAGTACTGGGGTATTTAGTATGGGCCTGGAGGTGAGGCCTGAGGTGAAAGGAGGTTGTCTTCTCTCAGCTCATTCCTGACAGCATTTTTTGGGTCACTTTTCCCACGTTGAGACTGTGCTGAGACAGATACAAAGAGGAAGAGCACAGCTCCTGCATGCTGAGTTTGGGGAAATGTGAGCTGCTCCTGCCTTCTCTCTGCACAGCTTCTCTGGTGCAGATTGTGATTGTGGAGTCCTCATCTTCCCTTTGTGCTTTCTCTTTTCCAGGCTTTGTTCCAGTTATCCCCAGAAGCTGCTGGTCCCTGTCTGGATCACTGATAAGGAGCTAGAGAACGTGGCTTCATTTAGATCATGGAAAAGGATCCCCGTGGTGGTGTATAGGTAAGCACAAACCCAAAACTGTGCTCTCCCCAGACCCACCACAGCTGGCCTTTTCCTCGTAGTCTTGTGCAGGCACTGTGAAGCCAGGTCAGCAGAGCATGTGTTCAGGGCTGTGGAGCGAGGGGCGGCAGCCATGGCTGCGTTGGGCCTCACGCTGCACATTGCTTTTGCCTCCCACCTGAAAACGTGCTGCTTGCAGGACTTCTCCTCCCAGCACACGCATCTTCCCTCAGTCTGGAATGGTAGCACGGGGTGTTTTCCAGAAGGGAGAAACAGTGTTCCAGTGGCTGTTGCTTCTTCCCTGCTCTGGGTTAGATCTTTTCTCCTGTGAGCAATGCAGCAAGAAAACTGTGTCAAATCAAGGTTCTCTTTCTTTGAGGTTCAAAACTTTTTCACAGGCTGGTACTTCCCTGGCTGCTGCTTTGAAAAGAAGTTCTGGCCAAAATGAGTCTGCTGCATAGCCCTGGCCTCAACTGGGTGTTCAGGCCTGGACGCACCTTTTAATACCCAAGTGCAAATCAGTTCTGTTTTGACCAAGTTCTGAGAGTTTGACAACATTTAGGTAACAGAGTGGAATGTTTGCATGTGGCTGAACTTTGTTTCTTCAATAGCTGGTAAATATATGAAGTACATATTCCCTGGTCAGCCTTCCAAAAATAATCTGTACGGGGGATGCTGGAGGCTAGGCACCAAATCAAGAGGGGCTTTGCAGGCCAGAGGGGTGGTTTCTCATCAAAAAAGTCTGCCAGGAGATTGGCACGTTTGAAACTAAGGAGACTGCTTGAATATGTGCACTCAGTGCACGTGTTTTAACGTACATTATGGTTTCAAGCCTTACACTCTATGCTAGCAATTACTAAATCAAAATATGAAAAGCTTCGAAAATATCAGAGCTGCACAACAAAGGACAACCCTGGGGCATACAAAGGCCAGGAAAGAAAACCAGGGAATTTACACATCCTTTAATTCTACATCTCCATGTGACATGGTTTGCTGTTAGACGGTGGCAAAACACAGTGTATTACTTCTTCTAGAAGAACTCAGTTCTGCAGCAGAGTAATAATGAACACTGCTTATCGTAATGAGCCTTTCCCTCTTTGTAGCCAAGTCAGCTAAGAAGTTAATTGTATTTGTGATTACTTTTACTAAAAATGGCCTGGTGCTGGAGACTGTCCCAGTGTGCCTCCCCACCCAAGGGCAAAGCTGTGTCTTTTTGCTATTCTACCAATTATTTTGTTCCTTGCTGTAATGGTACCCAGTAATTTACAAGCTGAACTGCAGCCTTTTGCAGCCTGGGATCAGATTAGAAGATGCTTATGGGTGATGTTACAAGATAAGGACAAGCACTTGCCCATGTGTGTGTCGCATTTTCATGCACTTCGTGCCTTTACCCTCAAGATCGAAGTCTTTTGGCCAGGAGGGTCTGTGAGGACCGTGGCTGGTTCTGGAGTGCCTTGTGCTGTGTGGAAAGGGAAGGAAAGAAACGGAAAGCCTTGCCCTCAGAAGAGAGTGGGCAGATGGGCTCAGGTGCGTGCGTCCCAGGGACTCTGTAACCACAGGACTGTTTGGTAGCCTTCAGAGCTCTTGGAGAACAAGGCTGAATTCATCCCGTCACAGCCAGATCTGTAAAACTGACACCAAAGGTACCGCGGTATCATTTTTGTTACAAAAAGTATAATTTAGCTGTCAAGCAAAGCAGAAATTCAGGTCTCAATCTCCGAGTCCTCCCTCAGTGGAGATGCACAGTAGAGGTGCAAGAGCCTCCAGGCCCAATTCACTTTTACAACATGGCAAAGGATGCAGTTCATTATTTAGCTGACTACAGAGGCAGACGGGCGCTGCGTGCCAGCCGCTCCTCTTTATTACTGTCTGCACAGCTACCTTCAGAAGGCCTTGGGGCTACACTAGCAAGAGAGCTCCTCACAGGCACTTGGCATCACCTTTGCCATGGTCGTGCTGCAGGGGCTGTCAGGGGAGCTGCGGGCAAACAGTGGACGTTGCTCCAGCCCCACGGCGGAGCGCTCGGTCTCTGGCCTCCAGATGGTGCCAGAGTGAGCCAGGAGGTTAAACCAGAGCTTGGGAAATGAAAGCACCCACAGAGCTGCATCTCAGCTCTGATGGCTCTGCAAACCCTCTCGCAGCTCTTCCTTGTGTTTTAAGCTAAGCTGTGTGACTATGTTGTGGATGAGGCTCTTGTGGACAGAAAATAATAGAGGGGAAACCTGAGAGGTATTAGTTGATGCTTTCTGGTTTTTATGGGTTAAATAGCATATGCTAACAGCATCAGATGTGCTGTGACCTTGTGCTCTGAATGAATTTGGGAAGCAAAAGCTCGACTGAAACTGCAAAAGCACCCCATACTCCAGCTTTGGATTGTGAAAGGGTCCAAAGTAATGAAAAATAAACTGAGGATCCCTAGAGAATAATTTTGTCCACATAAGTTCAAACACTATGGCATCCTCTGCCATTTCGGTTTCAAGGAAGGAGCTTTCTTCTTTGAGAAAAACCTTCCACAAAAATCCCCAGTAAGAAAAGACCTGAAATGCTTTACATGCTCGTGCTGGGAAGATCCGCAAGAGAACGCAGAGTCAAGCTCTGGGTGCTGCCCTGACCTGGGGAGCTCACTGCAAGCTCCATTGTGGTTTTCATTCGTCCGCTGACACCTGCTGTACTTTCTGCTTGCTGATGACTTCATGCTCACTGATGCTGGCCACGTTTCCTTGTGTTCAGTGGCATGTTACGTCTCTTGAAACTCGCTACCTCAAGGCCAGCCCCTGCCCAGTGTTCGTTGCAGTGCTGAGAGGTTGGTGCTACTGAGAAGTTTTCTGAATTTAATGTGACTCTTTGGCAGTGTTTGTAGTAGGTTGCCTCTGACCTCAGGTGGCTTAGACAGCTAATTTTCTACCCTCCACACCCCAAAGCAGTGCCACGGCATCCAGACAGCCTGTTGGGAGCAGTCTCCAGCACAGCACCTCTGTTTCCCAAAACATGCTCAGGCACCGTCTGGGAAAGTGCTAGTTGGCCCAGGCCTAAACCTGTGGGTGTGCTAACAAACAAGCTTGGATGGTCACAGGTCAGTGCTTAAGTCCACACCTTGGCTCTGTTTCATTTACTAGTATAAACAAAGCCTTTGGTGCGGTCTGGATTCACCCTCCTCCAGTGATCCTGAAGATAAGGAAAAGCTCTCCTGGGAGGGATGGCTCTGTAAGTCACCTTGCAAAACAAAACAGCAGCAGAGGAGGGCACTGAAAGAAAAAGGTCCTCACAGTGTTTTGACTTAGCTGAACATGTGGACGTCTTCAGTTCCAAGGCTTCGTCACTATTATCTATGAGACATCATTAACAGTAATGTTTTCTGCATTTATTGATAAGCTGCCTCAGGAGGATAAGAAGACCTTGCTTTTTGTGAGGAAAACCATTCCTGCAAACTGCAGTAGCTGCTGGTGTGACACCATACACCGCTGGCAGGAGAAGTTCAAGGCCTCAACCCGTTTTCTTGATGTGCCTTACAGCCAATGACAGGATCAGGCCCTGTCATCCTCTGTGGAACAGCAGAGCCCCTCACAGGGGGATGGCACAAGAAAGAGATGCCTTCAGGAGTCCCTGTGATAACCTTCGTGGGCAGCTGAAGAGCCCTTGAGGGATGGATTGAGGCTTGTGCTAGCCTGCTTTAGGATCTAGACCATTACATCCCCTACTTTGCTGCCAATGCAACTTCTTCATTGATGATGACCTACCAATATTAAAAAAAAAAAAATAGTTGAACATGGTTTATCAAGAGCTTTATCTAAGTCTCTGTTCATACTCCAGCTCATCTTCAGAGAGGGTGGTGGCATAGGGAGGAGCAAGCGCTGCTGTTGTGAAGAGCTGAGGTGCCGGGCTGTCCACTTTATTATCCTGTCTCCAAGAAGGGCTAGGCACCAGAAGCAGCATCTCGGGAAGTGTAACAAACAGGATAGGGATGCAGGTGTCCTCTCCTGGTGCATCTTTGGAGCAGCCGATATCTTAGATTTTCTACAGTGGATATTCAGGTGAATGTGGTCTTTTGCTCCATGGCCACTTGATAGGCCTGCCTTCCATTAATTTAATGAATTTTGGAACCGATTTACACATCCACATTGCACTCTGGCAGTGAGCCTGTCATATCTGCTGTCCAAAAAATCTTATTTTTCTTGAACTTAAGCGTGACCATTCCAGTACCCATCTGTGTTTCAGGGAAAAATAAGATTAATCTTCCAAACTCACTTATTTTTTTTTTATATAATTCATGACCTTTTAGGTCTCTCATCCATTCTTGTCATCCTCCAATGGTGAGAAGTTGACACTCTTCCATACCTCTGTCCTTGCCATCCATCCCTGGAGGTCTGAGTGCTGCATTATCCTTTTGGAAATTAGTGAGAAATTGGTGTCATTTTGAAGACGCATAAGATGCGGTCCCATCACGTTTTCTGTCTTATTCTTTTCCAAATAACTGCTAACACATTCTTAACCTTTTTGCTTCTCTTGAGCTGAGGCTTTTTGAGTGCTCCACAGTGACTTCAAAGTCAGATTTGGCATCTGATTTGTACCCATCTGTTCCCTGTCAATAGCTGGAGTCACCTTTTGATCATCCATAAATAACTTTCATTTATTAATACTAAATTTCATACTCTATTTTTAATAATCACCCAGTATCACAAGAGCCTTTGCCACTTTTTCCAGGCACCCACAGACTCTTCTAGATAATTCCGTGTCACCAGCAACTTTGTCACCCAATTGCCCAGTCCCTTTCCAGGCCCTTTGTGAATGACTTGACTGGTGCATTCATGTGAAAAATGAACACTTCTTCCTACTGCAGATCTTCTGCCAGGTGTCAGTAAGCAACAGCCAGAGTAGGGTTCACATTTTAGGGGTTGTCAATAAACACCAGCTCAGGCCTCCACCCAGAAACTGCTCAGTCTGATGCAGAGTGAGCTGAGCTGTCTAACGTACAAGTGATAAATGAAATGGTATAACAACCACTTTTAAAGGAGGAAAAAAAGAAAGTCAGTGGGAGAGCAGAACAGTATTAAAATAAATAGCCATTACTTTCCCAAAGTACAACCATAATTATTTTAAAGTTCTCATCTCTGGTTTAATATATACATGTTTACATATCTATATACAGTTATATATATTTTATATATTATGAATTTATAGCTAATAATGTATATTTATATGTTGTGGTAAATAAAAATATAAAAGTAGTTTAACAGAGCAATGGCTAGAGCAACTGGCAGCTTCCCTTTTGCTGCAGAAACTCCTCATTCATTTCCGCAGCAGTCGAGTCCCAGGGCACAGCTGTCAGTCCCAGAGGTGACGTCCCATGAGCTGTGACTGCCCCCGGAGGTGCCACCATCCACCACACCGGCTGTTCCCGGCAGCCGCCCCCCGCAACCCTCCCCCCCCCTGGCTGTGCCAGCTCCATTAGCCACTCCTGTGCTCCTCCCAACCATCTTCTGTTCCTCACAAATGTGATAAGAGCGATAGCCTCCCTGTCACTGCTTTTGTTATGAATAGTGGCTATTTGAAATGCCCTGTGCTGTGTCACTGCTTGGATGCGAGAGCAAACACAGCAGATAAAGCAGTGAGGGGGTTGCACTGGTGCTGACTGTGCGCAGGTGATGTTTGCTGGGGGCTGTTTCTCACCTTTCCATGGGGCTTCATTAGGCTCTTGCTTCCTTTGCAGGCACGTGCGCAACGGGGCAGTGATTGCACGCTGCAGCCAGCCTGAAATCAGCTGGTGGGGCTGGCGAAATGCCGACGATGAGTATCTCGTGACATCTATTGCCAAAGCCTGTGCCTTGAATCCTGGAGTAAAGGTGTCCGGTGGCGTGCTGCACAGCGGGAGCAGCGATGGCAGCGAGGCGTGCGATGCTGACTTCGGTGAGACAGCTGATTTCCCTCTGCTCTCCCCTAAATGTGTGAATTATTCAGTGCTTCCTACACCCAAACACTGCTGTTGCTGCTAACAGGGCTGTTACAGTGCAAGGTTTAAGCCTGGTGTCCAGATGGATCACCCAGGCCCTGCCACACCCTGACTGCACTGTGTGGAATGGGTCTCTGGGCTTGTTCATGGCCACTGCTGGGTGGCACTGGAGGCCTTGTCATAGCAGGGAGGGAGGTGCCGGGAGGTCAGCCAGTGTCTGTCTCTGCAGACTCATCTCTGACCGCGTGTTCAGGCGTGGAGAACGCAGGAGCTCCTCAGAAGCTGCTGATTCTCGATGCCAGGTCCTACACCGCAGCTGTGGCCAACAGAGCAAAGGGAGGCGGCTGCGAATGTGAAGGTACAGAGGGCTAAGCCCATCTCAGAACATCTTCCTCTTGGACCTGCTGTGTCAAATGGGTTCTAGAGCACGGTTGGGGGTCGGGTTGGCATTTTGGTACTCAGTCTCTGGGAGCACGTTCCCCTTCTTGCTCGTGCAAAGTCATAGAATCACAGAGTGGTTTGGGTTGGAAAGGACCCCAAAGCTCCCCCAGTCCAACCCCTGCCATGGGCAGGGACACCTCCACCAGCCCAGGCTGCTCACAGCCCCGTCCAACCTGGCCTTGGACACTGCCAGGGAGGGGGCACCCACAGCTTCTCTGGGTGAAATAATAAATAAGTCCATTATTCCTGATATATTGCTGCTGGCCCACAAGGATTTTGTAGAAAAACTGCCTACCTGGCGACCAGAAATGGTGTGAGGGGACAGCTACACTGAGCGTATGGAGGTAGTCGCTGCAGCTCTCCGAGTGTTTCCGTCTCTGTTGTGTTCAGAGTATTACCCAAACTGCGAAGTTGTGTTCATGGGCATGGCCAACATCCACTCCATCCGGAACAGCTTCCAGTATCTGCGTGCTGTCTGCAGCCAGGTGCCAGACCCCAGCAAGTAAGTGACTTTTCTCTAGTTGAGTTTGACACCTTATCTGTTAATGTCCTGGGGTTTATTACCCTCCCTCTTGATTTTTCCTATTCCAGGTTCCTACCTCAGAAAAAGGAGGGATGGGAAAGTGTTCCCAGTGCTTGGATGCTGCTTATTTTGATCCCTGGTAATCCAGAAGGGATTGCAGCACTGTCTCGGTGTCACTTCGCCGAGTGTGTCTTCTGAGGGTTTCTAAAATGTAGCTGTATCTGGGAAAAATTGACATTAGGGGTTGGATTCTTTGCAGTTATTCCCAGGCTGGCTGGTTCCTCTTGAACATGTTTTAGAAAAAAACCACCTGGTTTTCATGGAAGACTCCAAAAAGAATTAGGTTAAAATAGATCTTTTTTTCACTTAAGGGCTAAGCAACCATTTTCTTGCTTTTTGCACATTTTCCAGCTGGCTTTCAGCCCTGGAGAGTACCAAGTGGCTGCAGCACCTTTCTGTCATGCTGAAGGCAGCGGTGCTGGTCTCCAGTGCAGTTGACAGAGAAGGGCGTCCAGTGTTGGTTCATTGCTCGGATGGCTGGGACAGAACTCCGCAGATTGTAGCGCTGGCAAAGATTCTTCTGGATCCTTACTACAGGACCATGGAGGTACGAGTCATGCTATGCTGTCTGTGCTATGCTGTCTGTGCTATGCTGTCTGTGCTATGCTGTCTGTGCTATGCTGTCTGTGCTATGCTGTCTGTGAAAAGGCAGGTTTTTGTCTCAGTCTCTGGAGAAAGGAGCAGGATCGCATTTGACAGTAAAGTCGGTGGCATTTCAGAGCTGCTATTAAGGTGTTGGGTTTTTCCATCTTCTGTTCCTGCCTGTTTTGGGTGAACTGTACCTCACCCCTCTGCCCAGCTTGGTGAAGTCCTGTGATAAATAACCTCTTGTGTTCAAGGTTCAGCTGCTTCTCTGCTCTTAATTGTGCGTATTCTCCAAGCTGTTTATTGTCTAGAAGTAACAGCTGTTAGTTTGTGTTTGGAAACTTCTGATGTTCAGGTAGCTTTGTAGCACTGGTGCAGCCTCTGTTCCAGCCCTTCAGAAGTCCTGAGTTCGCCTAGCACTGCTGGCACATGGCGCTTGCTTTGTCCTGCTACGTCTGCATCAAAGTGTCTTTTTTTTCCCTTTTATGTACAGGGCTTCCAGGTGCTGGTTGAATCAGACTGGCTGGATTTTGGTCACAAGTTCGGTGACCGCTGTGGTCACCAGGAGAAGGTGGAAGATCAGAACGAGCAGTGCCCAGTTTTTCTCCAGTGGCTGGATGCTGTTCATCAGCTTCTGAAGCAGTTTCCTTGCCTCTTTGAATTTAACGAAGCTTTTTTGGTAAGAAACATGCATACAAACACCTCTTTATCCCCTGCCAGATGTAAGCAGAGGCAGAGGGAAGGCCACGATATTTTACAGTGTTGTGGTTGAAAGAAAACAAAAATTGAATTCTCTAAATATGGGAAAGTGTCTGAGTAGTGCTTGGGCTCTCTTCTGTCATTCCTGACGTGCCTTCACTGTGTGGGTCCAGCCGTGCCCCTCACTTGTGGTATTTTGGCCGGGTTTTGTGTGTGATGCTTCTGTTAGCTGCCTGCAGGTTCCTCCTACTCCAGTGGGCATGGTAGGCTCTGAGTACCTGGCAGACTGCACGGTGATGAAGGGCTTATAGTCTCTGGTTTCTTTGAAACACTTCTCCAGGCCCCTTTCTAGCCCACTGATTTCAGATACTATCAGCAGCACTGTTTTGATAAAAAGGCTGATTTGCATATCTCAGAGCAATATGAGTCTGAAATATTTTTTAAAAATAAATTAGGGAAAGGATAGCTATCAATCTCTGTCTTATCAAATTACGCAGGTTAAGGTTACAGAGAGATGGTTATGGTATCAGCCGACTGTTGCTTTCACTTTGAGTGACTCCTGTTGCTGTCCCTTCTCTGTCCTGCCCTGTGTGGCAGACTGGACTGCAGAGTAGGGTCACTGGAAGTAGGAAGTGCTCCAAGAGGAGTGGGAGGCGTTTCCCTGTAGACAGGAGACGCCGCTTCCCAAAGGCCCTGACGTTGCTCCCCTTCTTATGCTGCAGGTGAAGCTGGTGCAGCACACGTATTCCTGCCTCTATGGGACCTTCCTTGGGAACAGCCCCTGTGAGCGAGAGATGCACAACATCTACAAGCGTACCTGCTCCGTGTGGTCCCTGCTGCGGGCTGGCAATAAGAACTTCCACAACCTTCTCTACATGCCAGGGTCTGAGCAGGTCAGTAGAGCTTCTGGCCCAGCTTTCCAAGTTCTCCACCTAGGGAGAGTAGAGGTTGGACAGCTTTTCTTTTGCATTCAGCTCTCATCATAAGCGGTTGTTGCAGGTGCTGCATCCGGTGTGCCACGTGCGAGCGCTGCACCTCTGGACAGCAGTGTATCTCCCAGCTTCCTCACCGCACCCTCTGGGACAGGAGGATATGGACATTTACCTGCCCCCTGGATCCCAGAGCCAGGATTTCAGTGGCAGATGTTTGGACAGGTAAGAGCCCAGGCCCGGGTTGCCGCCTACCCACAGGCCGCCTTTCCCTCCTTGCTCATTGTAGTTCCTCTGTTTAACCTGTGGTTCTCAACTTTCCTGTTGAGTGCAGGAACTCTGTAGCATTGTCCCAGTCACTTGAAGGACGTGTACAGCTCCCTGCTGCAGAGGCCACACTGTGGTGGTGTGCATTTCGGCTCGTGCTGTTGCACCGCCCCTCCCCACCCACCCCATAATCTCTAATTGAGAACGTTTCCCTTCCCTCATCTCAGTTTTGCCTGAATTGAGGCAAGTTTCAGGATTTTTGTTCTGAGATTTGTTTGCTTTTGGGTTCTAGATTACCAAAGACAAGATCTATGGATGATCTGCTCTCAGCCTGTGACTCCAGCAGCCCGCTGACCCGCACGTCAAGTGATCCAAACCTCAACAACCACTGTCAGGAAGTGCGGGCAGGCCTGGAAGCCCGGCATGCCACCACTGAGGGGGTCGAGCTGCATGTAGGCGAAGGCAGCATGGTGGCTGCAGGAGAGACACGGCAGGCGGAGGAGCGAGAGGAACATGCTCCCCTGCAAACCAACTCGCGCTGAGCATGAAGGGCATAGCAAGCAACTGAGCAGCCAGGTTTCTGTGCCAGCCAGCAGCGTCTCTCTGGAGCCAGTAATGGGAAACAAAATGTATGCGGAGGAACTGGATGGTACATGTCCAGCTCCAAATCCTTCTGGACAGGAAAATGTTGACAGGGTTTCCACCAGTTCTGGAAAGCAGTTAGAAAGTGGTCCCCAGGAACCTTTGAAGGCTGCTGGCGTGGTGTCCAGTGCAGGAGGCTGCCCCAAGAGAAACACCACCTGCCAAGACATTCCCAGCCAGGAGTCCCTGACACCAAATGCCCCTTGTCAAGACATCCCAGGCCCTGCCCCGGGCATCCCCTGTCCAGGTGAAGACTTCAGCAAAGGTGATGCTGGAAGGAGTGTGCCCTGCGAGGAGCCTGGCCGGCTGGGGAGAGTCCCACTAGAGCAATGGCGAAAGCCAATTTCCCAGAGCCAAAGCAGCGAGTTCTCCTTCCTGGGGTCCAACTGGGACAGTTTTCAAGGAATGGTGACATCACTCCCTAGTGGGGAGCCTGCACCCAGACACCTCCTCTCCTATGGCTGCTGTAGCAAGAGGTTAAGCAGCAAACCCCTGCGGGCACCAGGCCTGTGCCTCAGTGGCCAGTGGGCTGCCAGAGAAGGTGCCAAACCCTCACTCTGCTCTGGCCACATCAGCACACATTTTACAGGCCTTGCAGGGAAGCCCAGTCGTTCGTGGCTACCCTGCCACCTAAAGCAAGCATCTGGTCCCAAGCACATGCCACCAAAATGTCCTTCTCCTGTGCCTCCTCTCTACCTGGACGATGACGGGCTCCCCTTCCCCACGGATGTGATTCAGCACAGGCTGCGGCAGATTGAGGCCAGCTACAAGCAGGAGGTGGAGCAGCTGCGCAGGCAGGTGCGGGAGCTGCAGCTGCGCCTGGACATCCGCCACTTCTGCGCCCCTCCGGCCGAGCCACCGATGGACTACGAGGATGACTTTGTAAGTAACCACCTCAAACACCCCAATTCCAGCTGTGCAGCTCCCCACCAGCAGTGGTCCCTGCACTCCCTTCACCCCACCCTCTCCAACCCCTGGTTCTCGCTCTCTTACTTCTGGGGTGGGTGGTTAAGATTGTCCCAATGTTTCCACAGCCCTATTCCCATCCTGTCCATGTGCTGTGTCCTCAGGCCACCCAGAGGTATCTCAGCTTCTTGAGGGCCAAGGAATGGCTCCTGTGTGGTCATGAATGCTTTACCCTCTTGTATGGGGAGCTGTGGAGCTCCCCTCTTGCCCCTCACAAGCACTGAGTGTGGCCAGAGCAGGGAACACCCTTGGCTCTGCAACTGGGGCAGCTGAGGGCGTCTGTGACTTTGTCTGTTTTTGCAGACGTGTCTGAAGGAATCGGACGGCAGCGACACTGAGGATTTCTGCTCTGATCATAGTGAAGACTGTTTGTCAGAAGCGAGCTGGGAGCCTGTTGGAGACTGAGGTACGTGCCCTGTTATGGCAGCAGAGGAGAATGTTCCTTTGCAGCTGACTTTGGTGGTTACAGCAGCAGAGTGGGCTGGAGGCAAGGCAGAGAGCGGCCACCCTGTCCTTGAACGCATTCTCTGCTGCTGCTGTGTGCAGTAAAAGGGGACCTGTAGGGTGGGCTGGCTCTGAGCTAGGCTGTTGTGGTGCAAAGTCGCATCTCGCCAGTGCCTGGGTCCTGAGACTGGGTCACTGTGGTGTTACTGTGAAAGCTGATGAGGACTGGTGTCTGCTGCAGGTCACGCGGTGGGTTCCGGACCACATGGCCTCGCATTGTTTTAGCTGCGATTGTGAATTCTGGCTGGCCAAACGGAGGCATCACTGCAGGTAAACAATATTATCACTGTAGTGCCACTCTTCTTCTCAGCCTGTTTCTGACAATGTCTGTGATGTTTGTTCCCTCCAGCTCCCAAGAGAAAATGATAGGTCGGTCTTTTATTTGCTAGGCCTTCTAAATTCCCTGCAGATTTCCATTCTACATTGTTCTTGCTTCTATTTTTCCAAGGCCTTTGACCCTTCTCCTGGGCAGTAAGAGCCCCTTTTTAGCGGTAGCCAGTTAGCTTGCACTGGAGACCACAGCATATACTTTCAGAAACGTATTGGTGAGTCCTGTGCCCCCGAACCAGATCCTTTGTGTTGCTGAAGTTTTGCTGTTGTTCCCAACTCCCTTTTCACTACTTTTCTTGCTCCTTGACAGGAACTGTGGGAATGTGTTTTGTGCCGGTTGCTGCTACCTGAAGTTGCCCATCCCTGATCAGCAGTGGTATGACCCTGTCCTCGTCTGTAACTCCTGTTATGACCTCATCCAAGTGTCTCGTGCCAGGGAGCTCATGAGCCAACAGCTGAAGAAACCCATCGCCACAGCTTCCAGCTGAATGCCAGACAAGGGACCTGTTGAAGCCCAGCCTTTTCTCTCATGGGTCTGAGGGGTGACTCTGCCTCCACAGTAATTGTGAAGGCCTTTGGTGCAACACTTGAACACCAAGCTTGAATGCACTGTCTTCAGCAGTCGCACTGTCAGTCTGGAGCAGAGGAGCTCAGATTAGAGCATGGTGTGTGTGTCCCCACTTGGGTACCCGTGGGCCAGTACTTTGTAGTCTGACGACCTAGGGCTAAAGAGAGGATTGCAACCTGTTTCTTTTGTGAGCTGGAAAGCGATGTTTTCACAGCTATTGCCTGGGCAAAGTACCCCCGAAGCAATAGAAAGGCATGTTTAGAACCAGCTCCCCCTGCAAAGGCAGGCTGCTATACGAGGAGGAAGAGGGCAGGCTCCAGGTGGTACCACGTGCTTTGGAAGGGCCTCAGCCTGGAGCTGTGCTGTTCATTCTCTTTCCATGAGTGTGATTTGCGATCAGCTTGGTGAACAAGACTCATTAGCCATCACTAATTGATCTTCTCTTGAGCGTCGAAGAGAAATGAATTCTGGCTGAAAACGGGCCGAGCAGGTTTTGCCCATTTCCACGCTCCGCTAGGACTGGTGAATGCACTTGACTTTTCCCCTGCCTCCCAACACTGCAGGGAGATGAGAGATTGGCTTTTCCACTTCTGCTCTGCCCGCCTGCTTTGTCTGCGGTCGTGTCACAGCCTGGTGCTACCACAGGAATGGCACCCTGGTCCTCTCCTGGCATGGAAACAGAGCTCGTGTTCCTGTGTTGCTCCTCCTCCCCTTTTTTGCCCTCAGCTCTCCACTTTCTACTGCTCTTTATCCTGAAAACTTGATACCTTGAGGGTATAGGCCATCCTGTGTTGTTTTACCTCCTGGAATGTGCTGTCTGGTGTACGTGAGGGTTTCAGTCCAAATGCTGCTATATATTTCTGTGCACTTAATGTAACCCGAAGAAGGGAGAATGAAGCATGGATACCAAAATGGGGGTGGGAAAGGACACTGGCTGACGTAGACACTACGGTCTGTGCTTTTCACTTTAGAATGTACAACCAAGCTGCAGCGATAAACGTGATGCGTGGCATCTGCTCAGTGGTGGAAACAATCTCTCTGACTTGCCCCCGCACTACCTAAAATGCCTCTTGAATTTGACTTTTTTTTGGTCTCCTGTACAGTGGTCAAAGTTCAGAGTTGCCAACTTGTCATTGCCTCTCTACTTCTGCTTTCAGCTGGAGAGCAGGAATCCCAACTCATTCTAAGGAAAAGGAACTGGGTTTAGGAAGAATAAAAGGTTTAGAAAGCAAGTGGGCTTCAGGTGGGCTTTTGTTTAATCCCTTGTTAGATCCCGTGGGGAATATCCATCCTGCCTCAGAAATCTGCAGATATTACTGAGGAGAAAGAGTTGGAAAATGCGGGGCATTTCTTTGCAGCTAAATGAAAATGTCTGCTCTGTTCTGCACCTCATGAGCTGAGACTTTGTATGTGGGGAGAGGACCTGTGCGGGTATTTGGCCTGTGAATAAGGCAAAGTACTTTATGCTGTTGTGATCTCCCCAATTGTTTGCTAGTGGTTTGTCATCTCCAGCAGAGGGAATGGAATGGAATAATGACCCTTTCCTGCACTTTGATATGTTAGCCTCTGGTTTTGTAAATCCCGATAGCGCAAGCAAAGCCAGCATCATCTGAAGAGCGTGTACCTACTCAGACTCTGCTTCTTTTCCGTACTGGGAACAACCAACATGGCTTTGGGACAAGAGGGCACCTTGCTTCAGATTCTCCCCTGCCTCGTACCTTGCAGTCGTTGCCAGACATGGAAGAGTGACCATGGGGCTGGCAGAAGAAACTGGATTTGCACATGTTGGAATGACTGCAAGCAATAAGGAAGCCAGACACCAGGTACTCCTGGCCCTTCCGTTCAGGCCATTAGTCCAAACTGCTTTTAGCTTTTGTGAGTCTCAGCGTCACAATGTACTGGCCAAAAACTCTACAATCAGTTCAATAGCATTGTGACAAACAAAATGTGCTGTGCAACACAATACGGTCGAAATAAAATCTCTCTATTAGTGCTGCTGCGTTTGGGCCAGTTCTTTCATTTGCAGTGAGTTCTTTTTGCACACTGTTTCCCAGGCTGCTGTTACCTGCTGCCTGATTAAGGTGTATTAGAGATTTAATCTCCCTTCTTGTAGATAAGAATCAAGGGTAGGACACAGAGCACGCTGTGCTGTGGTCTACTCTGAGGCCTTCTGCTCTGAACAAAACCTGCAGCTGCCCGAGGTGCCAGCTCCTTACACCCACTCCCGAAATGACTCCACGAGGGATTTTTCTTTTCCGAAGAGGAGCTGTTGGGCAGGACTCACTCGTTCTTCACCAACACATCTATGCCAGGTTTTGCCTGAGAGGCTGAGTGGATGTGCTTCTCTGTGCAGAGTGACGGTTGGGGGCTGTTGTGCTCGGTGCCTGAAGTGCCAAGGGTGATGCAGGTGGGTTACAGCTTGGGGGGGATCGGTGAGAATTTTCTAGAAACACCGTCCTCACTTCAAAGCACCAAGAGTAGCAGGTCCCTGGTAAACTACAGCCATAGCCCAGGTCAGTGTTCATGTGGGAGAAGTAGTACCTCAGTGCTTTGTTGTGTTTGAAATGTGAAGACCAAGAGAGCTTGTCACATTTCAAAATTAACCATGCCTCCTGAAACAGTCACACAAAAGGTGGTCATCGTGGGGGGCGATGGTGCTCAATATTCGTCATGAATGCTGTTTTGACAAGGAACGACAGGCTACTGCTTCCCTTGCAGGCACTGGTGGTATTACCAGTTCAGTGTCAGCGTGGGGGCTGGC